TCAGAGATCTCGTGCTGCGCTTCGCTCGTGTACCAGCCTCTCTGCCCTCGTGCGCACCTCGCCAGCGGCGCGGTCTCAGCAGCGGCCGACATCACCGTAGCCGTCAGCTCGGCGGCGCTCTCTCCCATTGGCCACCTGAGCGCCGTGGGCGGTGGGCGGCTGGAGGCCCTGTTTTGGAATGGGACCCGTAAGTGTTTGTCCTTCGTTAACCGCTCGAGGTCGATACGGATCCGGCTGCTTCCGCTGTTCCCCAGCACTCGTCGGTTGGGTGCGACACGGGGGGGGAAGCGGACAGTCGTTAGCACGAGGTTGTGGTCAGAGTCCTTGAAGTCGACACGTTTGACGGAGGCAATACGCACGAAACGCCGGTCCGTCTGACGCATGACGATGAATTCGAGGCGTTTCTTCTCCTTCCCCTTGTCCGAGCTCTGGAATGTGTGCTGCCTTCCACCTTTCGGTGTCCGGAAGTAGGTGTTAGTCAGGGAGAGTTGGTTGTCTGATGCCAGTCCAAGGAGTCGTTCCCCGTTGTTGTTCATAATGTCGCGTCCGTACGCGCCCATAATCTTGGCATCGCAGCACCCGTCTCGCCTCCTACAAGTACGTGCGTTGGCGTCCATTAGCACCACGAGATGGTCACAGCTGTGAACCTCCCGGATAGCTGCGTCGAGAGAAGCCCGGAAGGAGTCCTTGGCGTTAACGTCACCGCCCGCGGTGGTGCGGACAGTTTCCGTGGGGGCGTACCCCACCACGAAAGTTACTCCGCAGGTGCGGCCAATTTGTAGACGCACCTTCATCAGCCTCGGGCTAATGCACTCCACCGTCCTACCTTCCTCGCCCACACTCTCCCACATGGCCTCCTTGATCGCTATGCCCACACCGTGTACGCCCCTCTTGTCCTTGGTGCCAGCACGGGCGCCACTCCAGATGATCACGTACCCGTCGTGTGCAATTGAACCTTGCCCCTCTCGTCGGCTTTCGTGAAGTTCCATCACATCACAGCCGGTCGCGGAACAAATCTGCATGACCGTCATCACGTTGTGACCGATGGGGTTCCTACCGCTGTAGGCGAGCGTGCGTACGTTGAACGTGCCGAACGGTAGGCCGCCCTCTCGTGCCTCCTTCTTCGCAGCCGCCTTGACGGCCGCTGCGGTCTCGTGTCTCTCTCGGTCCGCCTCGCGTAGCGGGTGTGCTTTCTTCAGTATTTTCCGAGCGGCGAGTTTCCTCGCATCAATCCATCTCTGCAGAGCTCGGTACTTGCCTGTGGTGTTTTGACGAGAAGGGTGCAGCACTCCCTTCCCGCGGTGCCCGCCCGCGGTGCCCGCGGTTGTCTCCCTTCTCCCGCGAGCGGTGCTTACTGACGTGGTGTTTACGAATCTCTCTACTCCTCCAGCGTCGTGGGCCACGATTTCCGCGACGGTGGTTGCCAGGTGCAGTTTGCCGCTTTGCATTACTGCCGCGGGAACAGTGTCCATACACACCTCTCGCCACTACCACCGTCTGTGCATCCTCACCACCACGCTGAGCCAGCGCGGCGGTGAGTTGCACCTTGGGACACCACCCACCTACTATCTGTTGTGGCCTGGTTCGCCCGCGAGGGACTCACTAGGTCGACTTCGGCCCCGGCCGGGAAGCAGGCCGAAGGGGAAGGAATACAGTGAGAGGGCTTGTAGACCCATGGCTGGTTCTTGTACTTCTGTACTTCTCTGTCCCCTCCCCAATGGGAGCCCTGCCGGCTCACTAGACAGCTCCTGTGATTTTCCCACAATTCCCACAATCACGCAAGCACACACCAGCACACACCTACCTTTGCATCAGAGGCTTTCTAGGTTCGGGCGAGGGTATGTGTTACTACCTACTCTGCTGTAAATGTTGGATTCATCTAGACAATACGACTGCTGCTGTGTAGAGTAGCCGCTGACATGATGACTGTGCTGGATCTTGGGAAACTACGATTTTCGAATTTGCAGGATAGACGATGGAGCATACCACGATGTCCTGCCCTGTTTGGGCTTGAAGTGCCCCTTCTCGCTGTCCTCCTGTCATTGATTTAGTGGCTTCCTAGATTCGGGCGAGGGCAAGTATGTGGAGCTTTTGATGTGTGTCTCTGTGAAAGGATATGGAGAGAGATTCATGTTGGTATTTGCACTTAAGAGCAGTGTGCATTCTTCTAATTTTGGCCGTTCCAGGGACCTTGATATATATCTCGCTGGCACTAACGTCTTTTCATTGGCCACCCGGGAGCACGGTCGATGCGAATAATAAAGACACACCTACCTATTGACTTGCCAACACCTGGCGTGGAGGGATACAGGGCGGCAACTCCATGGCATCCCACAACAACACCAGCATTTACAAATGATCAATCAATGATCTGTCAGGACGCCTGTAGACTAGACCCAAAAGGGTTAACAACTGTCGCGCAGCTGTACACGAGTGTGCGGATCTGAAGAAAGGCGTGGTTCCCGCACCAATTATTCCTGGTAGAACATTTCCCGCTCTTATTTTCGTACTGGGTGGTTGAAATTTCCACGAAGCATCCTCACACCTCTGAAATTCCGTTGCACAGCGGCGTGGATAGCAACAACCTTGCTGAACTCTACGCAAGCAGCACGATAGATCAACTTCCCAATGTGGGGCACATATGCGTGAGAAGCAGCAAAGCGAATTCAGCATCGCACAACAAAGAATGTTCGAGTTTCCATGTCAAATGCAGGGGACCCTTGGTCTAGTCTAACCAAGATTCTACAGGTAGACTACATACAGCACCAGCCCCCGACGCCAACACACCTGTGCGGACAGGATTCTCCAGGTTCAGACGTAGCCCACAATCGTGCGAAACGCTCCGTCTCCAGCACCAACAGCTCGTTCACCAAGCCGCGTAAACCCACCTTGGCGACTGCCCTCGCCCGGCCACGACCTCGGCTGCGACCTCCTCGTCGTACTTTGCTACTGCCGCCACGTTGTATCGGGAAGAGCGTGATGCACTCGGCGCCGTATGTTCCGGAGCGTGTCATACCACCAGACTAACACGAAAATGGTGACGTGCACCACAACAGCAGTTGCATGTACGTGTTCTTCTCCGCTAGTCTAGACTTCAGTTATGCATATGATGCGCCGGCGGTTTTAATGCGTTGTATCATAGACGTACATCGCACTCACCTCTCGATCTCAAAAATGTCTACGAAAAAGAACAAATTAAACGGCGTGTGGCATCGGAGAATCGGAGAGGCGGCTTTTGTTGCGGAAAGCCCGACAACCCCGCGGAAAGTTTGATCGGAGATCCTCCTCTACAAGATAACAAAGGTTGCAAAAAACATGAAAACAGAGTCGTGCTACGGCGGTAACACACATTTGAGTTGCGTTGCCCCCTCACCCGGCGGGTTTACGGGCGGCGTGTGTGCACATCAAGATGCAGGGACGACCACCTGACTCTGCTTCCACACCATACACATGCGTGCAGAGGAGAATGCTCACAGTGGCCCCCATTGTGCCGGAAATGGATCCGAAAATGATTCGAAGATTCCAGTGGTGGAAGGCAGAGTTCTGAAAGCGGAGCAGCCGCCAGCCGACGCAGCAGTTCATGTCGCAACAGAACATGCCATTGAGTCGGAGTTTTTCCGTCCGGTGGGGGCATCGAGGTAGCCGCTTGTTCTTTCGGTCTCGGGCGGGGCAGACAAGTGCTCATCGCGCAGCGGAAAATATTTCGAGGTGAGGGCTTCTCTGCCCGGTGGGACAACGTTGTTGGCGCTTTTCAGTGTGTAACGTCCAGAGCGCGATCGCTACCGCACATGGCTGTCTCTCTTCGGCGGTGTGATTCCTGCTGTAGCGGCTTGTGCTCGTTAGACTGATCGACTTGTACAAGAAGAGCAGAGCCGCTTCTTGCTTGCAGCCAGCATCGCGAACAGCATCAAGCATACGCGTTCAGCTTCTCGCACGTAAGGCAGCACAACAAAAACCCGACACATGAAATGTAGACACAAGCCTTTTGTAGCAGTTGGGATGGCTGTGCTGCTGCTGTAGACGGACGGCGCTATCTTTGCTACAGCTAGTAATAGGGAGCTTGCCGAGCGGAGCAAAGAGGTCGAGGGTACCAACATCGTACGCGGACTGATCATCTGTGTTTTGTCCGTGTTTCTGAAAAATGTGCTCTGTATGTGGTCTACAGTAATGGATGGGAACAGCAAACATCGCGCTTGTTGCGCAATGCGTAGTCTACGTCACAAATGCGTGCCACACCGTAAACTCCGAAAGTTAATAAACAAAATCGACGAAGGACGGCACAGCAGTCTGACGTTCGTCTGTTGTGGCTCTGAAATATAGTCTATAGCCTTGCTTCTCCTTGCACGTGCGACCGTTTTCTCAGCAAGCAGCCTCGAGTATTTGCCAGAGGAACGAAACCGTGGACATACATGGCAACGCCACCGGCCCCATGGCTGCCGCACCGGCAGGGAGGCCTTCGACGCCTTCGCCATTACCAGGTCCAGCAGTCTCGATGGCATTCACATCTACGGCGGTCTTCAGCACTCAAGCGGACCGCGGTCGAGGCAAATCTAGAGGACAATGGGGGTGAGCCTTAGTCTGATTCATTTTCTTGAAATTGATACTCGTCCATTTGCTCGTGACGATATACGTCGTACACTGCATAAGCGATTGACACAACGACACAACGGCACACCCACAGATCTGACGCACGAGAGAAGGTCGGCGAAACGTGAGCTCAAGTGTTGCGCCCTCGCTGCGCGTCCAACCGAGATCTGCCGAACAAAAACTCTCGTGTGTTTGTCGAAAAAGTGCGGCGGACGAATGCACAGGTGTGCCGTAGTATGCGTAGATCATTTGCCCCACAAGGTTTAGAAGGGTGCGAAACCTAGAGGACACGTGCGAGGGAAAAAGCTCTCTCAACGGGATCATTCCGCAACCTCCCTTTTCGGCATTTGGCAGCCTCTTCGTGTGGGGAGCAGTCGCACATCTAGCTTACGCCCGCACTTTGTCGTAAAACATGTGCGCATGTGCTAGAGCATTTTTCGCCTTTCTAGCACGGTTTGCCCGTGGTACTCTACGGCGGGCACAAGTCACACACCGAAGTCGCGCGAACCGGAGTTGTGTTAGTAGGTTTGAACTACTGGATGGCGCGAGCACACGTAGTGCCGAACCGCGTACAAGTAGTAGGGATTTTTTAGCGTTGATTACTATCAGGTCGTCATTGATCGCCAATGATATTCTCTACATCCACCACCTGGCCCGGCTGACACACACACACAAAATTTGGAGCACAAATTTCCGAGCTCAGCACATACCGACCAAAACTTGAAATGTAGGATCCAGTCACGGGCGCATGTCAGCGAGTGGAAGAATATTCGTGCGATGCTTCAAGTGCTAACTACGGGCAGCACATACCGCCTTGCTTGCGCGGAAGAAAAAAAGATATCTAAGACTATAGACTACTTGAAGCATACGGGTATGTAGGGTAGACTACGCACGGGTCGGCCCCTTGTTGCGGGCTCTTTTCCCGCATGCACACCCTTTGGTTGCACGCCCTTCGATGCCACCCGAGCACCCTCCGTCAGGCGGGCTTCCAGATGTACATAGTCTAGCCCGTTTGTCGATGACGATGGCGGGACACCGTGACCACCTCTGTTTCCAACGAGCTTTTCAGCCGCTGCAGATGCAGCCCTCCCGCCAACTTCAACCTAAGAGTATCACAACAAGTATTTTTGTTGCAGCAAGCTTCAACGGTGATGTTTGTCCTCGGTTTTTGCCCGCCAAATCTGACAATCAAGACTTCACCGGAGGCAACATGATTTTCCGACGGCAAGCGCGCCGTACTAGATTTCTTGACAATCGTTTCCGGAGGGGGGTATTGGGACGAAGCAACAGAGGTTCACGTGCGGACGTCAATATTTCTGAGGGGAAAAACCTACCTCGCGTGTCGAGGTATTTGATAAATCGGCAAGTTTCCGCCAAAAGCATGGTGTCCCTCAGCCGTTTTGAGATTTAGATACACCAGCAGCCGGGATCTCACAGCGCGCCCCGCCGAGGGCCTTGCCTCCTGACCTCCTCACGTACGGACGATAGGGTACTTCCAACCGTCATCACGATGTTTGCCTCACGCGCTTGGCATCCCTCGCCCCCCAAGTGCTTTGCTGTGAGGTGCCCTGCCGTTGTTCCCTCGACATCTCACTTCAGCAGCATGCGCTTCCTCTAAACACGCGACCACACACCCCGCCGCCGTCCTCCCTCTCCCGCGCGAATCTACCCGATCCCCGTTCCAAAAGAAGCAGGTCAGCGCACGAGAGCACCGACCCTAGCGGTACGTGCGACCGGTGCCGCCGTAAGAACCACCACCAGCGCGCTCCTCTTCTCCGCTCTTCGCATGGTGCTGGAGGATCGTGTCGGGGGTCGGGGGTGGCTGGGGTCGGTTCGAGAGCTGCAGAGCGTGTGCTTCGATGCCTGCAAGGAGTGCCGCAAGGTCGTGCCTGTACGTCTCCGTGTGTCGGACTCGACCCCAGGCCACCTCTGGAGGAAGGAAACAACGGCAGACAAGGCAATGGCAGAAACAACGGCTGAGGCGGTGGCCGAGCTAGAACCTGGCGGCAGCAGCGGCGGCGGCGGCGGCGGCGGCGGCGGCGGCGGCGGTGGTGGTAAGAGGAGCGTCATTGAAAGCTATGGTAGCGGTAGCAGCGGCAGCAACTGCTACGGTAGCGATAGCAGCGGTGACGGTGGTTTCGACCTCGACGGCGCCCCGGGCAGCGAAGTTGACGGCGAGGACGCCGACGCTAGCGATGTGGATGGTAGCGAATGCAGCTGGAGTCTCCCCTCCTTGTGGGAAAGGGAGGCAGCGATAGAGACCAGGACAGACACGATCCCTTCCCCGTACTCTCCACCGGACAGAGACGTCCCACCTCTCAGGATCGCGGGCATGGTGTGGGAGCGCAGCGCGCTGGCAAAGGCTTCCTTTGGCCGTCCCGAGCTGCCGGAGGCGGCCTTCGGGATGGCGGCGATCGAGCCCTTGCACGGGGCGGCCTGCACGACTACGCTGAAGCGGATCACCCTCAGCTCGAAGAACTCCCACCTTCCCACGACGGTGATGCTTGATGCGAAAGACGGCGAAATAAACTGGCCGCCTTCTCTCAAAGAGCTGACCTTCGGCGAGCGTTTCAACGCCCCCATCAACCAGGTCGCTTGGCCGGACTCGCTCCAGCAACTCTCGTTCGGGAGGTCCTTCAACCAACCCATCGCCGGAGTGTCGTTGCCGCCTTCGCTCCAGCAGCTCAAGTTCGGGCTCGCCTTCGACCAACCGATCGACGGGGTCGGGTGGCCCCCCCGCCTCAGGCGACTCACCTTCGGCGCGCGGTTCAACCGCCACCTGGTCAGCCTGCCGTCCACGCTAGAGCAGCTCACGTTCGGGTTCTTCTTCGACAACCGCTCGGTGTCGGGGGCGGTCTGGCCCTCCACGCTGAGGGTCCTGACGTTCGGCCACGACTTCGACACCGACATCATCGGCGTGACGTTTCCGGCGTCGCTGCAGTGCCTCACGTTCGGCTTCTGCTTCAACCGCCCCGTCAGCCGCGACGGCGCGGGGGTAGCGTTCCCGGCGTCCCTGCAGCAGCTGTCGTTCGGGGCCTGCTTCAACCAGCCGGTGGACGACGTCGTGTGGCCGGCGTCCCTGCGGCGGCTGGCGTTCGGGTTCGCCTTCAGGCAGAGCGTGGATGGGTGGGCTTGGCCGGCGGGCCTCACCAACCTTTCGGTCAGTCGTTGGTGCTCGCTCTCCAGGATCGATGTGCCGACCGGGGTGCAGCTCGAGCTCACCTGACAACGGGAGGAAGGAAGACGATGACTCTCTTGAATTCGTTCGTTCTTTCGTCCGTATCGTATGTCGTATGAGTTGTGTTGTGAAATTTCTTTCATCTGGTATGCATACTACCTGGTACGTTGTCTTTTGCCAAGATGAGGGAGAAATACGTACAGGGTTTCTGCAGTGAATGTCTCGTAGAGGGAGATTTCGTATTTGTTTTGGCGGTTATTTGTTGTTGTGGTAGTTGGTAGATCACTCTGCCTGTTGTTGTTGATGTATTCACGTGGTAACATCGAGGTGTCTCCCTTCCTTTCAGCGTCTTGAAGGGGCGAGGGGAAGAGTCACGTCTGACGAGGCCGGGAGGGATAGACGTCCTAGCACTTGAATCGGTGCCGCGGCTCTACCTGTACGAAGAACAGCAGTAGTAAGTCGAGTGTGCAACCCTGTCGTAGGGACCACGAAAATAGATGCTAGCTTTTAAGGCCACCGGTAAATTCCCACATTTATGGTGAAGGATGATGCTTGGTGTAGCTGAGAATTCCACGCTGCTCCACACGTAGGCTTGCTCGTGTTGTTTTCGAAAATTAGCCGGGGAGAGGAGAGGGGGTACGGGTATTGTGTTAAAAAAAATGTTGTAGGTCAGCGGGGGCTCCGTGTATTGCGCGCGGCGTAGGGGGTAGTCGTTACCGGGAGTCGCTCCGGGGCGCGCAAGTAACAACGCCAAAAGGTGTAAAAAGATGGGGACTGTATGTACTAGCTGCAGGATGATGTTGCTATGCAATACTTGGAAGTGTAAAATAGCGTAGTGCTGAAGCCCGTAGAATCAAAGGTGGGCAAAAGCCTAGGCGTGGGTAGGGTTCCGGAAGTAGGTCGGGTTGCCTCAGAGGTTGTAGATATCCCACGGTAGTCAGAGCTGTTCCTGGAAAGGGGGGTGCTGGGGCTTCTGCCCTCCAGGTCAGTAGAGAGGGGGTTGCGGAGTGCAGATTCAGGAGCGTAAACGGGAAATTGCTGGAGCCGAAAAGATAATAATACTGACATGTGGAGTAGGTGTAAGCTCTGCTTTGTTGGAGCTGACCAGGGAGGATCGAGATGATAAGTGTGCCGTGTTCTGTTCAAGTTGAATAGGGAAGATGTTTAGGTGGGTGTCAAGTGGGTTTTCTTTTTCGGGGGCTGATATTTTGCTTCTACACCACCAGTGTTCACAAGTACCTGGGCGTATTGTGCGGCATTTGGTGGGAAAATACCGGTTACGTACGGTGAAGGATGACATGTAACGAGCCGGTCGAGCAAGCTGCGCGACTAACCGGCATGCGTAACTCGCGACGGACGAACATGAACACGCGGAACTTTTTTTCTCACGCGACCGCTCAGTAACATAAAGTGCGCGTGTTTGTATTCCTTCAATTTGCACCAACCGTGCGAATACCGGCTGACCAATGAAAAGGCGTCAGTCTTAACCGGGACAATAAATATGAACGCGCAGCAGACTCCCCGGCAACGAGGGGGGGCGGACGAGGTTGGATTAGGAAGGTCCAGCGCGTTCCTGTATTACAGCCGAAAAATTGGCTTGAGACTGCGTTCTCGAAAGAGAACTTCATTCATTCACTTGAAGAGGTCGATGACCTGTTGCCTTGCAAAGGAAACACAGCAATCAGACAAGACCTGCAGCAATCCAAAACAGTTAAACTCGTCCCACGCTATCACTCAAAACGTGTGTGTGAGTGCGTGCGTGCTTTGTCGTCCCACCCATCATCTATGCGCCGTATGGATATTTTTTTCATGTTGCGTGGGCACCTCATGGAATTGCCCATGATGGGCTGCCCATAGCGGCACACAGACGGGGGGAGGCACACCTACTGCTATTGGCCAATAGAGAGGAAATTTACTTTTTGCCCCCATACACCTCTTTGGCCAAGCAATGTGCCTAGACTAGGGAGGAAGACGATGTGCCGAGTAGCCCGAAAAGAAACCCGAGACAAAAACAACACTACTGGTGAGTCGAGACATCCACCACCCCTTGCCGTATCCCTTGTAGAAAAAAACAACTGGGGGGCCTAGACATCGTTAGCATGTCTCATAACTCCTTTTTACAGACACGCACCAAGCGCGACTACGTAGGTCTGCCGCGCGTAGCTACAGCCAGTGGCGCCGCGAAGTGCGCCCTGAATGGGGGGTACGCTGTTCCCTGCCTGCCGACAAAAACGCCCGCCCGGAGGGTACTCTAAATACTACGAAGTATATAATTTTTTTTTCTCCCATCATTGGACTCTGTCGTCTGCCCCTCTGGCCCATATCCTCCACTTCTACCAGCTAGACGACCCAACCGGGGTCACATGGGAGGGGGGGGTGGGACCCCCTCCTGCAGTTGCTGCCTGAGATATTTTTATCGCGAGGAGGGTACAGCAATCCCTTCCCTCGCGACTTATGAAGTCGGTCAAGTTACTAAAAAAAACGAGCTTTGCGGCGCGTCGCCTCCAACGGAGACCAGGATTTATATCAAGCCGCGAATCCAGAGTCAGCTCTGCACCAAAATGCACGCCAGAGACCAGCAGGCGGAGAAAGAACCCGTCCCCCCCGACTACGTAGGCAGGCAGCACAGATTCCACGGTGCCCCTGGCGTTGGCGTCGTGGCTTCATTGCGCCTTTGGGATTCATCGCACACGGGCCACAGCATGCAGTACCATAATGTTAGTAGGCGGAAGCGACACGCCGTCAACAACTCTGTGCAACGAAGGCGGTAGAGGTCTCGTTCACGAGGTTCGAACACGCAGAGTCCGCCCCAAGACCTCTCCTCCCCCGAAGGAGGGCGAAAGGAAACGGGGCGAGTGCTGTCAACAGACACTCCGACAAGCATGCTCCCAGGCATATCCCACCAACCGCGGTCTTTGTTCCCCACATCGTGCAGTCCGAAGTCCAGTCCAACACGCCTGTTCACAGTTGGTAAGACGGGGCGGTATAACAGACGCGAGCGCGGGCGCGCAAGGCAAGGACGACAACGAAAGTAAGAAAAACAAAGAAGAATGATCTGTAGTAAAGCGAAGAAGAGTGAAAAGACAAGCACCACACTGCAGGCAGAACTACGAAAGAAAACCAAAGTTTTAACCTCAACCTTCCATAGTCTGAAGGCGAGGAACGCTCGCTCTCGGATCATGCGGCGCGTCCGACTCTTGCTTCCAATGTGACGCAGTATTCTTCAAGAGGCCTTGGACATGGGTAGATAAACATGGGGGCACCAGTAAAACCAAGAGCCAGTCCTGCCAACAACGACGCACGCCCCTACTGCGGCTGTCCTGCAAGGCCGCCTTCCTTCCTAGCCGACCAAACGGCAGGTTAACAGAGAAACCATCGCGACTCACTCTGTGCCAGCCTGTGTTGCACGGCTTTTTCGCACAGTGTGCCTCCGAAGTTGTAGCGACTTCTGTCTTCACCACGGCAGCGTTTGTCGTCTCTTATTGTACTATCGACAGGTCCTCTTTGTCACGGCAGCCGGAAGTACCCATGGCGAGCATGTTCATCATGACAACTTCCTCTCCTGATTCCTGTCCGCGTGCTGCCGTGCGGCTGTTTGTTCCAAGAGGATAAAAGCAGTGACGGCATCAGTCTAGGTTGAGCAGCAAGCCGGCAGGCCCAACTAGTAGCCTAGCCCCTCGAACCTGCATACCGACCGGCCCCTCCTCCGTCCGGCAGGGCGGCGGATCTCCACGGATAACTCCCCTCGCTAGATCCGTTGTGAGGAGAACTCCGCCTTCTTGTGGCCTTGTCTAACCATCTACAGTATTCCGGCATCAGCTCCGTTGAGCCGTTGCTGTTAGCACATCTCGTCCCATTGAATGCCGATGATCATCTCCTCGGCATGTGGGCCCGTGCACGCCAACAAACAAGTTGTTGTGGTGTACGCGAGTTGGTGAGAAAACCACGCTCAAGAAGCGCGTTCCGTTTCCTCGATCCCTTCCCGCTCGTTCATGAATCTCCTGTTGTTGAGCTCGAGGAGGTGAAACCTGCAGCAACAGCAGTACGAAATGCCCGCGCCCCTGTTGGAGAATAGAAGCACGAGCGGAGGCAAAAGATTGGTGTGACGCACAGGAGAGACATCAAGAAGTCAGCCTGACGGACGGACGGTACTCCGCTGGCCCTGAAAGCCGCTGTTGGTGGGCGCTGCTGGGGGGTACGCAACCAGGACCTTTAAATCTTCACGCACCGTCGGAATCCAGGGCGCGGTCTGGGTGGCTCGTGCGTGTGGGCGGTGCTTCGCGAACAGCGCGAATGGACACAGCACACAGCAGCGAGGAGGGAACGGTCGAGGAGGATTGGTGGACACTTCTGTCTGATCCAGTGTAGCCTTGCGCAGTCATCATGGCGGGATCGGCAATGGCGGGAAAGGTCCAGGTCGGCCGCACGTCCAAGTTCAGCGTGCTCGATCCCAAGGGCAGCAAGGTCAAACACGTCGTAGCACCGGCTGCTGCTGCCACTGCTCCCACCGTGGTGGATGAAGGTGAGTGACGACGGGGGGAGAGCGTAGATAGGGATTGTATCAGGTAGTCCCTGCCACAGCTGCTGCTGCTGCTACTGCTGCTGTATTGCGGGTACAGTTGTGCGTCAACAGGAACCGAGTGGAATTGGCCTCTTTTCTCGAACGGCAGGCTGGAGGGTACAGAACACACGACCCCCAAGCCGCACATCGCTCCTCCTCCAGGCACTGCTGCTGCCGTGGCGGCAAACCGGTCTTGTCGCGTACAGCTGTTCTTGGGATTGCTGTTGCAGAGCGTAGCCCGTTCGCTGAGTCGGGGTAAAGTGAGGGGGTGGTCTGGTTAGCCAGGTGCCATTTTCTTTTTGCAAGGGCAGCCATCGGGGATTTCTCTCACACAGAAGCAGCGCACCACGGAGAGGGGCTCACCGCACCGCCTGGTGGCCCTTACCGCTCCTACTGTACATCGCAAAAGTGGTTTATGTATGCATATACATAGGCATACTCGTTGATCGCACCCAACCGCAGTGCCAAAAAGAAGCGCTGGGTCCCAGTTGCACAACAACAACACTGCGCAAGCGACCGCTGGAACCTTCTCCTGGCCCTTACATTTTTGTCACCGCGATTTCACCGCACCGCGGCACTAGAATACTGCAGCAAGCCGCTGTTCGGTAGTGTGCTCTACAGCCAAGAGAACCGTGCGTTGTGTTCTATCAAATGCGTACGGTCCGCAACATCTCTTTGTTTTATCATTAGTCTGCATAGTAAGTACGTAGTCCATGACACATGCGACGAGCGCACAGA